GATGGTCCCTTATTTGACTACACAATTTTTCATGCAAGAAAAAAAAACTACAATTTTATGTGTGCCAATTTTATCAGGATTAGTTCTCCTTTATTTTATGGTTCATATTATAAATATTACTATTAATTTCATTGAGTTTAAGTTTCTATTCATCGGTTCATTGGAGGCTGTGTAGCATATTTTCTCCACAAACCAATATATTTGCTCTGGTGCTTGCAGGCTGGGACAGGTATTGCGGAACTTATAGCTCTTGAGATGTCAAGACAGGTGGTGCATATTTTTTTATCTTGGGTTTTGCTGTCATTTGCAGCTTGTGCACACATGTCATGAATCTGGACTGTCTAATAATTGTTGCATGTGCAGACAAAAACACCAATAGACGAATGCCGCAAGAAAATCTGGCTTGTTGATTCAAAGGTTAAGAATCTAGGAATATCTCGTATCTCTTTCAGTAATTTGGCCTGGAATTTCAGTGTATTCCTACTTGCTAACTATAGATGCTAATCAATTGACAGGGCCTGATCGTTAGTGCGCGAAAGGAGTCTCTTCAACACTTCAAGAAACCATGGGCGCATGAGCATGAGCATGTCGGCAACCTCTTAGATGCAGTGAATGTATGAGTACACTTTTGAAAAAGAATAATCTCATGGGTTCGCCTTAGTTGTTCTCAGTAACCTGGATCTTTGCAAGCTTATCTTCTGACCCAAGTTTGTCTTCTGACATTCCAGGCTATCAAACCAACAGTGTTGATTGGCACATCTGGAAAGGGGCAGACTTTCACACAGGAGGTTGTTGAAGCCATTTCCTCATTTAATGAGGTAACTTTCACCGTGCTAACCTGTTACTTCTTTATTATTTTGAACAGTGTCTAATGGTGTTCTGTAAGAAAATGTAGATGCCTATCATTCTTGCCTTGTCCAACCCAACGTCGCAGGCTGAGTGCACTGCTGAACAAGCTTACACATGGAGCAAGGTAATTAATCTCTATCGGCAATCAACTTGCTTTGTACTCGTTATCTTATTGATAGAGGTATGCAACGTTTTCAGTGCTAACTGACTCACTGACTGGCTTAACAGGGTCGAGCAGTGTTTGCAACTGGAAGCCCATTTGATCCAGTGGAGTACAATGGCAAGATACATGTGCCTGGCCAGGTTTGAACAACGAAAACTGTTCATTCAGAGATTTTATCTGCTTTAAATGGTCTGAACTAAACTTTTTGATATTGGTCCTGGTTACAGGCGAACAATGCATATATCTTTCCAGGGTTTGGCCTTGGGGTGGTGATGTCTGGGGCAATCCGTGTGCATGATGACATGCTTCTTGCAGCCTGTAAGTACTCTCCGGGATAGCTAACGTGCAACATATCGCTTATTATTAACTGTAAATATGTATTCACATTGTCACCTACACGAGCTTAAATCGGTCAAAGAAGATGTGGTAAGAAGTCAACAAGTGACTGTTTTTCTCCCTGCAATGAATTTCTCCACCGTGTAATTCCACCAGACAAAGTACAAATTTCAGAATAACTATTTCTTATGAATTAAGAAGCTCCTCAGGCTCAACTTAATTTACATGAAACTGATATACGCATATTTTAGGTCTTCTTGAAATACTATGTGCTAACCCAGCAAACTGAATTTGATTCATTCCTTACCTGGAACAGCCGAGGCTCTGGCTCAGCAGGTCACACAGGAGAATTTTGACAAGGGGCTCATTTACCCTCCCTTCTCAAATATCAGAAAGATCTCTGCTCACATCGCGGCCAACGTTGCAGCAAAGGCATATGAACTTGGTCAGCCACCACACTTGCCAATGTTCTGAAGTTATTAAATATAAATGCTTATCATCGAACGCGGCTAATCTGCACCCGAGCTCATATGCTCCCGCATGAACAGTAAATCGAAAAAAATTCAAAAAATTCCAATTTTTTTTGAGAGAAACATTGACAAAAGTTCTAAGTGCCTGCAAAAATTCGTCATGAAATCACATTCCTAGAAGGCGTGGCAAAAAAAACAAAAATAGTACCCTGAAAAAGCTACTTTCAAACGCATTTTGAAGCACTGAATTTGTTTTTTTTTGCCACGTCTTACAGGAATGTGATTTCATGATGAATTTTTGCAGGCACTTAGAACTTTTGTCAATGTTTCTCTCAAAAAAAATGGAATTTTTTGAATTTTTTTCGATTTTACTGTTCATGCGGGAGCATATGAGCTCGGGTGCAGAATTGACTTTTCGCTTATCATCGTCTTTGCTCACCATCAATCCGTATCACCCGACGTAGGTTTGGCGAGTAGGCGCCCTCGGCCGAAGGACCTGGTCAAGTGTGCAGAGAGCTGCATGTACAGCCCGATTTACCGCAATTACCGGTGAATCCGCATTCATCCGGCTGTGTACAGAAGCTGTTTGACCAACTACTTGCTTCAAAATCCCTGAAGAACACCACTTGTGGTTATGCTGTGCAACCGGAGTTGGTTCAAGCTCTGTTTCGTATTTACTTCCTGTGCTGCCTATTCTGTTGTACTCCCTCCGTCCTGTTAAACACGTCATGTTATGTGACCGGCGCATCTCATAGGAGATAGTTAAGGTAGTTAGGTTGTTAGAGTATCTTGTTTATCTCATATAACCTCTTATCTCTATCTCCTTTCTTGATCTCCAAGCTTGTAATCCAAACCGCATGTATGCGCTGTTATGAGAGATGCGCCCCATCTATTTAACACGAACCCGTCGGCCTGAGGAAGGCAAGACGTTCCGCTAGTTCGCACATGGTCATCAGAGCCCCATCTTTTCCCATCTACTGGGATCCCATCTACCGAGCCTAGCCATGTCTTCCTCCTCCTCCGGTGCTTCCCAGACCATCCTCAATGGACAGATCACCGAGAAGCTAACACGCACGAACTACGTGCTCTGGCGCACGCAGGTCACCCCTCACCTGCGTGGCGCCGGTGTCTTCGGCTACGTCGACGGCACCACACCGGAGCCGGCCAGGCTTCATGTCACCAAGGACAAGGATGGCAAAGAAAGCGCTGAGCCCAACCCTCTCCACCCCATCTGGGTTTGGGAGGATCAACAGGTGCTGGGTTACTTACTCAGCACCCTCTCCAAGGAGGTTCTCATCGCGGTGACCACGGTCACCACGGCGCACGCGCTCTGGACAGCGGTGGCAGGTATGTTTTCCTCGCAGTCCATGAGCCGCGTGAATAATATCAGGACGGCACTCATCAACGCGCAGAAGGGCAACCAAACGGTTGCTGCCTACTTCGCCTCCCTCCGTGGTCTCGCCGACGAGCTCGCCGCGGCCGGGAAGGCCATCCAAGACGACAAACTCATCTCCTACATCATCCACGGCCTCGACGTCGACTACCAGCCCCTCGTCTCCGCCCTCGACGCACGCGTCACACCGGTCTCCCTCGACGAGCTCTACGCCATGCTCAGCAACTTCGACCAGCGCATGGCTCAGTTCAACCACTCGGGCAGCGGCGGCTTCCGTTCCTCTGCCAACGCTGCCGTGTGTGGTCGTGGCAGCGGATCACGTGGTCGTGGCGCCTCTCGCGCAAAAGGACGCTCTGGAGGTCACGGTGGTGGTGGAAACAGCGGCAGCGGCAACAACCGCTCTGGTGCATCTCGCGGTCGCCGCGGCGGCGGTCCACCTCGGGCCCGTCCGGAGCTCCCTCGCTGTCAACTCTGCGGTAAGCCAGGGCACACCGCGCGGGACTGCTGGTACCGTTATGACGAAGATGACGAGGACTCTCAAGATGAAGAAAAGGTGGCTGCCGCGGCTGATGGATCCTACGGCATCGACACAAATTGGTATGTTGATAGCGGCGCCACCAACCACATCACCAATGAGCTTGAGAAGGTCACGATGAAGGAAAAATACCATGGAAAAGACCACATCCACACGGCAAGTGGAGAAGGTATGCAGATTTGTCACATTGGTCATTCTACTTTTTGTACCCCTCATCGTCCTATTCATCTCAAGAAAATTTTGCATGTTCCTAGTGCCGCCAAAAGTCTTCTCTCTGTTCATAGAATTGCCCTTGATAATCATGTTTTCCTCGAATTCCATCCCTATTTCTTTTTGATCAAGGACCAGGCCATGAAGAAGGTTCTCTATCGAGGTAGATGTGTTCGAGGGCTTTACCCGTTGCTTCCGGAGCTTAGGAGACTCAATAAACAAGCCAATGGTGTTGTCAAAGTTTCGTCAACACGGTGGCACGATCGATTAGGGCGTGCTGCTTTTTCTTTAGTTGAAAGATTGCTTAGGAAAAATAAACTCCCATTTGTTGGTGAGAGAAATGTCGAAACTATTTGTGATTCCTGCCAATGTGCTAAAAGTCATCAATTACCTTATCCAATATCTACTAGTGTCTCTACCAAACCACTTCAATTGATTTTTTCTGATGTGTGGGGTCCTGCTCCCACTTCTGTTGGTAGACATGAGTATCATGTAAGCTTCATAGATGACTATAGCAAGTTTGTGTGGATTTATCTTCTCAAAAAGAGATCCGAAGTCTTTCAAGTTTTCCAAAACTTTCAAGCCTTGGTTGAACGAAAATTTGATAGCAAAATTATTGCAGTCCAATCGGACTGGGGGGGGGGGAGTATGAAAAACTCAACTCCTTCTTCCAAACACTTGGCATATCACACCATGTATCATGCCCTCATGCCCATCAACAGAATGGCTCTGCTGAAAGGAAGCACAAACACATAGTTGAGGTTGGGCTAGCTCTCTTGGCAGGAGCCTCCATGCCCCTAAAATTTTGGGATGAGGCCTTTCTTACTGCCGTCCACATCATCAATATGCTCCCTAGTCGAGTCATCAACAATCAAACTCCAGTAGAAAGACTCCTTTATGTCAAACCAGACTATAAATCTCTTCGTGTTTTTGGGTGTGCTTGTTGGCCCAACCTTCGCCCATACAACAAAAGAAAACTCATGCTCCGCTCAAAACAATGTGTTTTCCTCGGGTATAGCCCTCAACACAAAGGTGTCAAGTGTTTAGATATATCCACTGGCCATGTCTACATATCTTGCGATGTCGTTTTTGATGAAACCAACTTCCCCTTCGCCACCCTACATCCAAACGCCGGTGCTCGCCTCCGAGAAGAAATTCCCCTCCTACCTACTCATCTTACCACCAATGATCCAGGGGGTCCGAATTATGATGATCAACTGTTGACTAATCCTGCTACTAGTGGTGTGCATGAGTTTTTTGATGATGTTCCAGGAGACAGCAGCGAAAATAATGAAGAAACAAGTGAAAAAAACGCGCCGGCAGTCCCACATCGCATGTGTCCGCATCCAGGAGGCAAATCCTCCTCGGGATTGGCTCCGCAGCAGCAGTTCAGCGGATCCCCCTTGGGATCGGTGCCGGCTGACGTGCCAGACGCGCAGGCGACAGCGCCAGCCGATCGTGCGGCTGTCTCCAGCCCAGCGCGCGACGCGCGTCACGCTCCAACTGGCGGCGGCTCCAGCATCTCTCCGCGCCAACCCTCGCTCGACACGCGGTAGCCTGAGGTTCGCCAAGACAACGCGCGCTTCCATGACCAGCCGGTCACGTACAAGCGGGGCGACCAGATTCACCGACACGACGCGGGGTCCCGGTCTGCTGCGGGACCGGGCGTGGATTCCTGTGCGCCCACGCGTGCACAGCAGATCGGCGTCCGCCTCGAGGCTGATCTGCCATCATCCTCCAATGATGAGGCCCCGGGATCTTCTGTGCATACAGAACACGCTGCACCTGATCAAACTGTCACAGAAGATCCGACGGGAGCTGACTCTGCTACAGGAGCTTCTGCCTCGGGATTTTCTGTGGCCGAGGATCCCAATGCTGCACCGCCACGACGTACACGACTCCAGCATGGGGTAATACATCCTGTTAATTATAAACACATAACCAAATACGGTATGGTCTGTTCCACAGGTGAACCAGGTGAACCTCAGACACTTCAGGAGGCACTTGGTGATGAAAAATGGAAAAATGCTATGAATGAAGAATACATGGCACTCAAGAAGAATAAAACTTGGCATTTGGTTCCCCCACAGCAAGGTAAAATTTTAATTGATTGCAAGTGGGTATTCAGAATAAAGAGAAAATCTGATGGAACTATTGATCGCTACAAAGCTAGGCTCGTTGCAAAAGGTTTTAAACAACGGTATGGCATAGACTACGAGGACACTTTCAGTCCAGTTGTTAAGGCTGCCACTATCCGTCTTGTTTTGTCTATTGCCGTTTCCAGGGGATGGAGTCTCAGGCAACTTGATGTTCAGAATGCGTTTCTTCATGGTGTTCTGGAAGAGGAGGTATACATGAAACAACCTCCTGGGTTTGTAAGTAAAAGTGCACCCTCTCATGTTTGCAAGTTGGACAAAGCACTTTATGGTTTGAAACAGGCACCAAGAGCATGGTACTCTCGTCTCTGTCACAAAATGCAAACACTTGGTTTTGTCCCTTCAAAATCTGACACCTCTCTGTTCATCTACAACAAGTCCAATACATGCATATTTGTCTTAATATATGTTGATGATATTATTGTGACAAGCTCATCTGATGAAGCCATCACAGGACTGTTAAAAGATTTGAGTGCAGATTTTGCCTTGAAGGATCTTGGAGACTTGCATTATTTTCTTGGGATTGAAGTAAAGAGGCACAAGGATGGACTTCATCTCTCCCAAGAAAAGTATGCAGTTGACTTGGTAAGAAAAGCTGGTCTACAGGGTTGTAAACCTACACCTACTCCATTATCCAGCTCAGAAAAATTATCTTTTACACAAGGGACTCTCTTGACTCAAGAGGACAGTACCAAATACAGAAGCTTGGTAGGGGCACTTCAATATCTTACTCTTACCAGGCCTGATATTTCGTTTGCTGTCAACAAAGGATGTCAGTTCCTTCATGCACCTACAACTGTTTATTTAACTGCTGCCAAACGCATAGTCAGATATGTCAAAAACACATTGAGCACGGGTCTCAATTTTAGCAAGTCATCTTCTACTCTTGTCAGTGCTTTTCCTAATTCTGATTGGGCAGGCTGTCTTGATGATAGACGCTTTATTGGTGGTTTTGCTGTTTTCTTTGGATCCAACTTAATTTCATGGTGTGCTCGTAAGCAAGCTACAGTCTCCAGATCGAGTACAGAGGCAGAATATAAGGCATTGGCCAATGCCACAGCTGAAATCATATGGGTTCAATCCATGCTCAAGGAACTTGGTATAAAGAGTCAACAGGCTCCATGTTTGTGGTGTGACAATCTTGGTGCCACCTATCTTTCAGCTAATCCAGTGTTTCATGCTAGGACCAAACACATTGAGATAGACTTTCATTTTGTCAGAGAGAGGGTAGCTCATAAGCAACTTGACATTCGTTTTGTGCACTCCAGAGATCAAATTGCAGATGGATTCACAAAGGTATTGCCAGTCAAGAGTTTTGAAAACTTCAAGTATAATCTCAACCTCATGGAGTTGTGATTAAGGGAGGGTGTTAAACACGTCATGTTATGTGACCAGCGCATCTCATAGGAGATAGTTAAGGTAGTTAGGTTGTTAGAGTATCTTGTTTATCTCATGTAACCTCTTATCTCTATCTCCTTTCTTGATCTCCAAGCTTGTAATCCAAACCGCATGTATGCGCTGTTATGGGAGGTGCGCCCCATCTATTTAACACGAACCCGTCGGCCTGAGCAAGGCAAGACGTTCCGCTAGTTCGCACACGTCCCACAATGTAAGACGTTTTTGCAACCTATTTTGGGACGGAGGGAGTATTTCGTTTCTACTACTACTTGGTATGTATACTGCAGTGCTTTTGCCCTGGATGTAATGTATAAACTGCCTTTGTGGCCAGATAAGATAAGTCTTTGTATTCTCGTCGGACAAAGTTATCGTCCAGTGCATGTGGTGGAGAAGGACAGGTTTGGAATAAAAGTTTCTACAGTTTCTTCCTCGGTACTATGGCCATTGTTTTCTGCGAGTAGTTGGCCGCATGCATTCTTGGCTCTTTGGTGGCGACACCAGAAAAGATTCTCCTCCTGTAGGCCGTGGGTACGGTGCCCATACATGCATGATACTCCATGGGGAGATTTTGGTAGGTAGGTGCAACGGGCACCAGGTAAAGATCATTTTTCTCGGCATGCTCTAAGCATATGTATGTCATTGCATGCAGTGTCTGAGTTGCTATGATGCAACAATTTGGTGCTTTCCTCTACCGTATGGCGCAATAATAATTGCAATCTGTGCATCTTGGAATGCATAAGTTGTGACCTTGACCGCGAGAGTTTTTTTTTCTCAAAATGAAGGCATAAGATTTGCCTTATCCATTAAATGAGAAGAGAATAGAGTTTTACAAGTGACCTACAATCACCGCATAAAAATTACTTGCGAAAACAACATTCCCTGGTTTCTTAGCACCCAAAGTTTAGCTTCATCGACTACAAGTTTGAGGAGGATTGTCGGCAGCGCATTCTTGTGCAGGAACACCCTATAGCTTCTTTCATTTTATATTGTCCAAGAGACAAGCACAATGAGAAAGGCCATTTAACTGCGAGAGTAGTTGATAAGGCTCGTCTCTTGCGTTTTTTGGGTGTAAATGACACTGTCCAAGTCTCCATGCTGGGTTCCAATTCGATCATCATTGTACTGTGGCAGAAAGCTGCAGCTAATCATGGAGCAAGACGCTAGCGGCAATTCTCATCTGATTGAGCAGAGACCTATGAACTGTAGCAACGAATCTAGGTTGGCTAAAGCGAGATTATGCAGATGCAAATTGAGACTCTTGCAATTTCTGCCCTCCCATACCATCTTGTAGTACTGCTAGCCAAGGGAAGTGAAATAAAGGGTGCACTGCTTTTTTTTTAAGGAAATAAATTCTATTCCGCTTAGACTAGGATCCTAGCCATATGGCTAGCAAAACTGCTATACGTACGATTCTTTTTAATCGGACGCTGGTACGACCAGAGTGCAGATGATATGGCCCACAAACTGAATCTGTGATTTGTCTCTAATCCTACAGAGTGTTGGACGAAAATTCATCGTATGTATAGCAAGATTCTATGGCTAGTCACCACACCCTTGAACAAAATCAGGGGCAATATCTGCCCAAACATGCGGGGATGTCTATGACCAGCCTCAAACATGGTTTTTTTTTTTGTCATATTGCGCCCAAATGAATGACTGGAACCTGTTTGAAAATCCAATAATTCACGGGGAGGAACATAAATTAAAACACATTGAATTTGGGGGATGATCAGGCCTTAAACTTTCTCACATAGCTTGAGAAGATGCACATCCTAGGCACTCGTCAACCAGCCATGCGTAAAACCATCATATAACCTCTATTATTGAACATTTTTACTAGGACCAACCATCAATGATAGATGGTAAATCTTTGACATGATAACGGATTGAAATATACTCAGGAATCCGAAAAGGCGTGATCTCGCACAATGATATCACTGTACACACGTGTGCTTTCCTGTTGCAATTGTACGGTGTTATTTATATATTAGCAAGTGTACTATTTGTGTCATTATTGTGTCGTCTCTCGTGACCACTTTATATATTCTCGACTCATTTTAGAAACATTGTCGTTGCAAAGAAGAACCAGATGCCGTACCTAGATTATAGAATACGATATTTTTGTGTGGAAAATAAAGTAGAGTTTTCAGCAGGAGCCGGCACTAAATATAACACATTTTTTTTGTCATTTTCCTCTTCTCGAGTGAATTAGTGGAACCTATTTGAAAATTCAATTCATCCAAATAACTTAAATTAAAACACACTGAATTTGGGGGAGGGGCGGGTCTTAAACTTTCTCACATAACTTGAGAAGATACACATTTTAGGCACTCCTCGACCGACTATGCGTAAAACCATCATATAACCTCTATTTTTGGACATTTTTACTGTGATCAACCATCAATAATAGAGGGTAAATCTTTGACATGACGACAGATTGAAATATACTCTGCAATCTGAAAAAGGGTGATCTCGCACAGTGATATCACTGTATATATGTGTGCTTTTCTGTTACAAAAGTACGGTGTTATTTATATATTACCAAGTGTACCGTTTGTGCTATTATTGTGCCACCTCTCGTGGCAACTTTATGTATGTTTGACTCATTTCGGAAACATTGTCGTTGGAAAGAAGAACTGCATGTCGTACCAAGGTTATGGAATATGGTATTTTTCGTGGAAAATAAAATACAGTTTTTGTATAAAAAAATTACAGTTTTGAGCTGGGGTCGATGCTATTAGCTTCATATAACGCTTGGTTTTCAACATGTCTACATTAGAATTA